TTTCACCAATGCCTAGTATGTCAACATTTATGTGTTCCATTTCTTCCTTAACAATCTACAATTTTCCTGCATTCATACTTCTCAAATTCCAATCAATAAAGTCTGTTTGCAACTGTTTCTCCAACATTGTGATTCCAAATACAAAGGCTCAACCTCTGGTGCCATATCTGCTAGTCTAAGGTAAGTGTGCTCTGTTGTACACAGAATTTTCTGTTATCAAAGGCCTGTTATTTCTGGAGTAGATGGTCAATCCTTCTCCCTAATCTATCTTAATTAGGGTGCTCAGATTTAGAGCAATATTTGACAGACAAGCATTTTATTCAAAAAAATTAACAATTAATCATTGGGTTATACAATTTGATGGGTGTGGGGTGGGGGAAATTGAAATAATTTATTCAAATTTGTATCTGAATATTCTAAATAAACTAGTAGGGGGGAAAAAATTAACGAAAGTATGCACGAAACAGATCAGGTGTTGGTCCCAAACCCACTCCTTCAGTACATTCATAGTGTTCCCACCCTCACCTAGCCCTGCCAGCATCCAGCTCAATTCCCTCTCCTTTCTCCTACAGCACCTCCCATCCCCTGCCTCCATCTAAGTCTGGGTTTGATGGCTCAGAACAACTTCCACCTCTGTCCTCCCATTTCCTCTCCAATCCATGATGGCATACCAACTAATTTATTTCAACAGATGCTTACCAGGTTGTGCCAAGAAATCTGCAGGAGAACTCCCTGACCAACTAACTGGAAAAGATCTATGTTTATTTCAATTCCAAACAAAGATTACCCAACAGAGTGTAGAAATTATCTAATGATATCATTAATACCACAGGCAAGCAAGATTCTGCTGAAGATTCATTAATACCACAGGCAAGTAAGATTCTGCTAAAGATTATCCAGAAACGAATGGAACAGCACATCAGGAGAGAACTACCAGATATGGAGGCTGGATTTAAAAGAGGCCATGGCACTAGGGATATTACAGTCAATGTTAGATGTATCTAAGTTGAAAGCAGAGAGTACCAGAG